GCTTAAATTGATCTCTCGAGCTAGTGGCTGCGATTTTTTTCGGAGGAGGTACAGGGTTTTGGAGTTTTTGTGAAGAGTTCTTCATTTTTTCAGCCTGTTCTCCGGCTGCCCAGATTTGTAACAGGTGGCAAGTGCATTAGCCGTCTGCATCCTCCACCGGAGGTCGAACAGGACGCGGTCGCTCGATCCTTCCCGTGAATCTCTCAACTCATCTCTGTGCATATACGTGCATTTGACGTTTGATTATAACGGCTCATAACGGCTATTTGATGTCGTAAGATTCGTAACCAATATTTATATCAAAATGTATAAAGGTGGAAGATCAATAAGTAAATTACGGGATGAAACAAATCGACAAGATGGATGTTTATAACCTAGCGAATACCACATGCCCTACGCCTGTCTTGTCCGCCATATTTGATACGTTTCTCCTGGTTTTTTACGTTTTTTACGGTAAACTTCTTGATTTACGTAATATACGTCAAAATCCTTGAAAGTCGTGAAATTGCCCAACCCTGCTCTTTGGCAAGCTCTTTAGTAAAAAATAAAGTACTATTTGTGACTAAACACTTTTGCGCATTGAAATTAGTACGTAACTCTAGCGACCCTAGCGGCATAAATCGCAAATAAAACGAAATATATGATGCCAAAAACATCATGAAACTTTTTTTCCTCCCAGATAAATATATTTCAGTGTATATATGTGCATGTACATAACAAATTATTCTACTGTAACGTGCTCTGCTTTGACTTTTCCGTTACTATGCTTTGTTCTTGCGTTATTAACTCAGGTTGACGGATCCGACATTTAGTTGATCATTGCCTTGTCAACTGTAGATGTTGCGGTATATTTCAGATAGTATACAGGTTTCTTATCTATGGATAGTACGAACTTCCCTGTAATTTTTCCCTCGGGCAAGGATTTCAACGCTTCATGATCTACGTTGAACTGGGAGATTTTGTATTCCATATTCTAAACATAAGAGAGAAAAGATTAGAAAATAGAAAAATTAAAAGATCTCGTGCGAACTTCCCGCGGAGAGGAAAAAAGGAATAAATACATAAGCCATTGTTTGCGAGCCTCTCAAGTAAACTAATTAAATTCTTGTAATGAAAAATACTTACTGGAGTAACTGGGCATGTTGTGGGAAACTTTTCAGATGGCAAGCCGTGAGCTACAATTCTCTTTCCAAGTACATCGTCATTCAATGCATCAGGAAGTGGTTTTTCGTAAATAAATATCTCTCCCATTTGTTCGTGAATCATGTCTACATTTACCTGTAAAAAATACGCTTTAATCGCCATGTCTTACAAAACCTTCAACGGCGTGTTCAGATTGAAGTGCCAATTTTGGGTGTTGGACGGGATCTTACTTTGTCGTCAAAACGGCTGCTCATAGACAGATTAAATAAATATATATTACCATGGTATCGCAGGGCATTTCTTTTTTTACAGGAACGTCGAGACTAAAACGTGTATCGTTGTGTATTGTAGAGCTCCATTCTCCCATGTAAGGATTCTCCTCGTATACGGAGTCAATTGTCTCTAGTTTAAAATATCCTCCAGACTGTAAAAACGAATTAAATCGTGACCTTACGTCTAAGATGTTTTCTCTAAACATTGTTTAAAGTGTACCATTAAAATAAACAGAAGGATTATACTTACGACCAATGTGCACGAAGCACCCAACAGAACGAGCAATAAAGAATGAAGGATTGCGCTGTTCATTTTGTCGACTTTTCAAACTCTAGTCAAGGCAGGAGGAAGAAATCCGATATTTATATGAATTTATTGGCTAACAAGATTATAAGCGCACGCAAACGAATCCAATGTCGCGGGTTTCGCGTGAGAATTTTCAATTTGAAATATGTTATGTATTTCAGGGAGGAAACGATACCCGCGGTAATTAACAGGAAACGGAAATGTGACTTCCGTTTTGAGATTTTAAATCATCGTGAGCGTTAAATCTATTCGTGAGACGATCTTTAGATAATTGCAATAAGCCGGGAGTTCCGCTCGATGGATCAATTTATTATTACATTCGGCGCGTATTTTGGAAGGAGTAATAATCTTGCGTTATAAGTTTCTCGTGAATGTTTCGGAGAAAATGTGAAATTCAATGCGATGAATTTTCATTTATTTTTATTCGTGAAATTGTGAGAATTTCTGGGCGTATATTATGTATTTTTGACGAGCGCACTCACTTCTCGCACTTCCATCTCACGTGGGTTTATTCGCCGAATTACGTACTCGCTATATGAAAGAACACTGGTGATCACCAACACTTCCGGTCTAGTAATATTGCAAATAAAGGTATATACCTTGTAAATCGAACATTGTTGAAAGGTGTCGGTTATAGGCAGGAAAGGCGGGAAGGTGGAAAGCCGTCAAAAGTAAAGAAGAGGACCCGAATCTATTCATATTTTTTAAATATGTATTACATTCATATTTACATGTACTATAATTAGAAGTTCAGCAATATAATTTTCTTATCATGTTATGTAAGTATGAATTATTTAACAGTTTTCAATGTTTAATAATGTAATATAACCTCGCAATAACAAAAACTAACCTGTACATCCTATTAAATTCTCTTTTTTCTCACGAAGATGGGTCTGAGGCATCACGTAATTCCTTTCTTCTTCTAATAAGGTTATTATTACATCCCCGAATACGATTGTTGCCAAAAATCAAAACACTCAGGAAGTTTTCCATTTTGAATTTTGGTGTCACAATCCGTGGAAGATGGCGTTCACGGCGCTTATTTTTCTATCTTTTCTTGTATGCTTCACCATTTCGCTTAACAATTTGTCCCGAGTCAGTTCATACGAATGGTCTCGCATTTTCGCCACCAAAAATGTTCCGTAATACCGTCAGCTACTCATTTTTCACATTTTCGCTCAATCTGCTTTACGTAATTGACCCCTGTAAAGAGATAAGCCGGGAGATAGAGAGATGCAGAGATGAGTTGGGAGATTGCTCACGGGCAGGGTCGCGCGATCGCATCGTGTGCTGCCCTCTGGTTTCGTAGGTTTCGCTACCGTAGACGCAATTCGCATCGCGTAAAAAATTCACAAACATCCTTTAATATATTTTAACATCTTCTACCAACAAGTGCAGCAAGCTCGATTTCGAT